GAGAGATATGACGACCTCCAAGTTCCAGCCCACCTCCGTATAACAACCGCGCGCTAGTGATCACTTCTGGCCGTGAAAAACGTCATCGCTGAGCGATGCGGCCGTGTGACAGCTGATTAATCACAGTTATTATTCAACGGAAAGATTCTATTTACGACGAAAGTGGCGAACATATCATGGAATGATGTTATAATATAGATGAAATGCTTTTAAAGGACAGTAGGAAGTAACTGCAGAGTCGCGTGTATTTCTACTAACAATCACGCTACTTATATTCAAACCTTTTCCACAATAGATTGATACTACTAAAATAGACAACTCCCCGTCCACTGTATTCCGCTCTACCGTGCAGTTGCAAACGAACTCCACAGGCAGACACAAGTATAGCGCACTGACACCATCAGCCACAATCACCCCAGGGCGCATTCACATGTTCAAGCCCAGATGACCTAGAAAAACCTGCATTTGCATCATGGGGGGTGGGGGACTATTTGATGGCTAGGGGCTTGTACTGCAACAGCAATTTGCAGTACCTACAACACGTTTTCACACAGACACATACACATACGCAGACTTGAATGCACATACACATGCTGACACATACAGCCTTGTACAGATTTTCGCTTGATCTGTTAGCCACGAAGGTTGGCAACCACTATTGGGCCATTGTGCAATTTGGCACTCGGGTGAGTGAAAGCTGGAATTGTAAAAACACAAGGTGTTACGCCACAATCGTATCATCAGCGCAACACTGCACCATATATTACTGTTATCAGTTCTCGTGTAGATGCTGTGCCACTCACTTCCCACCTTCTCACTATTCCATTCACCCACTCTCCTCATTCTCACTCACTCAAACCACCGCAAACCACACACACCGGCATCGCCATCGCATACGCAGTCACGTCACATCACCGACTCACCCATCAAACCCAACACCCACCCAATCGCTCATGCCTCCCTCTCTCTCACTCACGCACTATCTCATCTCTCTTGCACTCTGTCCCCATTCCTTCTCTCTTTCTATTTTTCTTTCTCTCCTCTTGCTTCCGCTCAGGCTCCCCCTCCCACTTTCTCGTTTTCTGTCTCTATTTCTGCCTCTTCTTAACTCCCTCTTCTCTTCGAATCCCTTTCCCCTTTTGCTCTCTCTCGCTCTCCCTCTCCCTCTTCCTCTCTCTCTCTCTCTCTCTCTCTCTCTCCCTCTCTCTCGTCTCTCGTTCCCGTCTCTCTTCTCTCTCTCTCTCTCTCTCTCTCTCTCTCACTCTCTCTCTCTCTCTCTCTCTCTCTCTCTCTCTCTCTCTCGTCTCTCCTCTCTCTCTCTCTCTCTCTCTCTCTCTCTCTCTCTCTCTCTCTCACATAACAGTGCAAGTAGTCCAAGAACGTGACAGAACTGCACATCTCTTAATCGGGGTTATAACACACATACTTTCTTCGTGTTGTCTCCGAGCAGACCCATTGGCCCTATTTATGCATCACTGCTGCAAGCAATCCTTTTGTAATTTGTGCACGGAGTGGCTGGTGATGGTCTTGAGTGTAAATAGAGTGAAATTATTTTGTGGTTGCTGGCTGAACACTGGCAATATGCATACAGCCCGTAGCAGTGAGAATGTACGTGTCAGGCAGAGAGATATAGAGCATGTGTGTGAAAGACAGCGATAGGGAAAGAAAACGAGAGAAACGAAAGACAGGATGGATGGAGGGAGCTAGGGATGGAGACAGGGAAAGAGAGGAAGAGAGTGTGAGTGAGAGAGGGTGGGAAGGAGAGCAAGAGAGGAAGATGAGATGAAAGGTGAAAGCAAGTGAAATACAGAAAGAGACCATAACAACTCCAGTCTGATTGGCCAAGCATAGTCGCACAAGATTACTTCTCACACGCACCTATAAACTCACTAACGCCTTGTAATGAGGCCGATCATTATCGGCATGCTTTTTGTGTTAGATGGATCGTTGAACTACTGTTGGGATGAGTTTTCTATACGTCCTGTATCAACGCAGTCATGCTTGTCAGAGTCATTAACCTTCTGGCGTTGCTCACTCATACACTCACTCGAAAGACAAATTATCATCCATGTAGTTAATGGGCATACGAGTGCATCGGTACGAGTACATGCACTTCCCTTCCCCACCCCGCATGAACACCCAGCCAGCTACAGATCTGTAGGGTAGTAACGGTTAGCACTACACTACATGCACGCTTGGGAGAGTTTGACGTTTTGGATCACAGAGTGGTCCGAAAACAGAAATTGACGAAAATGTTCATGAATACACATTCTGGAATCACTATGCCATCTAGTCAAAGTCCTATACTACAACAGAGGAGAATCTGAGAAAATATTTATAGTATAAAGAATTAGAAGTATGTCTAGCCATTGCAGGTTTCTATAGTCTTTAGACCAATTTTACAGATGACCAGTTTCACTGATCTAAATTGCAGTATAATTTGTGAGAGGTTGTGTTCAGCTGCTGCCAAATTTCTGGGTAAGCACTATAGCTGCAATGTCCTAGAAACCACAAGTTTAGTTAATAATATAGATACAAAGCATTTACTGCCCGTATACTTTTAAATCATTTACATGTTTGCCCATGCACTGTATTCGAGTATGTGCGAAAAAAACATCTGAAATGAACAGCCACACGAGAATAACTTTCTTCGTTTACCGAAAATCAGAGCTAATCGGGAGCAAATTCTCAGTTGAGGTGGCCAGGGCTTAGGCCACAATTAAAAAAATCTTTGTTTGCCCTCACCCGACCCAGGCTGAAAAGTTTGGGTAGGTAGGTGGGTTTTTTTTGTAAAGGTTTTTTTTTACAAATTCAGCATGGTGTCTACATGCTCGGGTGTGCTTGTGTGGAGATACCTTTTATGTTAAATGTTTGTTTTGCTTGTACATAATATGTACAATTGTATTGATACATTGTATTGATACATAATAATGTATTGCCTACAGATTAATACAATGTACACTGATACAATTTGTAAAAAAAAAATCATTACAATTTTTCGAGTCGGCCCCTTTTTGGCGGGTAGGTCGGGTGAGGGCAAACAAACAATATTTTTACTATGGCCTTACTATTTTATTTTGCTCCACAATTCATGATAGGCTTTCGCCCCCTCGGGGTGAGCCCTGCCTACCAATGATGCTTAGGCTACATCCACAAAAGTAGTAATTACATAATAGTATTGAACATACAAATGCTTTTGTAAATAACATTATTACAACCGATTAATACAAATTTAAATAATTTTGAAATGGTAGGAATACAAGCTAAGAATGAGCTTGCGGTGCATTAGTTAGGTAGTTATAAGGAATAGGTATATCAGGTATGTATAGATATGTATGTGAAAACAGTAACAGACGTTCACCTTGTGAGCGGCATGCCATATTCATCGAGGTCAGCTAGCATGATCAGGCAGCGTCCGAGGAACTTGTCCAGCCCAATGACGTCCTTGTGAAGGACGGTCAGCTCAATGGCGGACGCCTCTGTCGGAAGCTCGCTGTAAACAAAAATAACTTGTCTTCTGACCGATAGACCACGCTACCCTAGCAACGAATGACCACGCGTCCGATGACTGCCAACCAGAATACGTGGCCTTGGGGATGACCGAACGAGTGTCAGCCCACCGAGCGATCCTGATACCGAGCAATCAAGTGATTGTTGACCGATGATTGCGTGAATTACCACCGGCCGTGTGTCACGCACTGACAAAAGGATGGCAACTTTGCGTGAGATTTGTAATTATCTTAGGGGTGCTATCAAAAAAAAGCTTTCAGCATGCAATGAGGTTAAACATATACGCATTATGTCCACAGAACGCCCCGACAGGAAACTATTTAACCCATTATCATTACACACTTACAAATCGCATTCTTCATTCCACTCCGGGTCGATAGCTTTATCTTGCACGGACGTTTGGTACTTTGCTTTCCCCAATTGCATAACAACGTACGCATCGTTTGTACCTACATTGCAAAGCATATCGCATAACATGGGAAATCGAGCAGATGTTATTTGCAGGGTTCTACGCTTGCTATTTCTCATTCTACACAGGTGCTACTCTAAGTATGTCAATCGCAAGTTGCCAAATGCGCACAGTACAACGCTAAGCAGCTTATCAGGGCAGATCCACCTCCTCAAGTGGACAGCAGGTGAATTTCTAGTTAGTCGCGAATTAGATTACGACGTATAATTCGCGTTTAATAGTTAGCTGACGACGGAGCGCACACATAGTCGACTGGACCGATATATGTTTGCGTTGCCTATATTGTCTGGGTTGACAGGAATTACTGCCTGTCACCTGCAGGCACATACAATGTGTCAGCCATGCAACTGTGTCATCAGACCAACGACGACGAGACTGCTAATTATATAGGGCGCTTCCTTGAACATGTCGGAACTTACAACTATCTTAATAAATCGCAAATTATACTACCGGCTTTTCCTTTGCCGACGAGGTGCCTGGCTCGCAGAACTGCAACAAAGAGGGAAAAAATATTGAGGGTAGAGAGCATTTTGACTGGGCAAAAACAACTGGAGGTAGCCGATGTTATCATAGGCCGTATATAGCTAATGCATTCACACATTTACTTACACGATACCTGATCACAGCCGTTTTAAGAGTACACAACGTGTCCCTTTGAGAGTGGACATTAAAAATCAAGCTAACGGTGCATAGTGGTATTTTTTAGTAATATTGTTGGTATATTTTGCAATTCATTTAGCTATGAAATGGCATTTCTATGTTTAGCAATGCTTTTTTGCTATTTATGAAACAATTTTTAGCCAAAAAAGAAAGCGTGTCCAACAGGCAATCACCACCCTCTTGCCTCTAAAGCCCCGGACACACTAGGCGATTTTTCAGGCGAGTGAGTCGCCGGCGATTGAGCCGGGCGACTGAGTCGGGCGACTGAGTGGACACACTAGGCGAATATCAGCGCGATTAATCGGCGATTTTTCTCCCACTGCAACACTAAAACACTCGCACTGCATACTGCAACTGCAATCTCTGCAATTGCAACTGCATGCTACCCGTAGGGCATGATTCTCTATGCTGACTCACACAAAGAGTAAGTAATAATCCGTACGCAACAGCGGTTGCTATAAAACTATCGAAATTATTTGCAATTCAAACATTTCTAGTGCCAAGCTGTACAGCAAGCAATTTATGCCTTGAGCAGTAGAGGAAATTTGTGAACTGGCAATGAACAGGTAATAACAGATAACGTTCTATAAACACTTTCAGTATTTAATTCGCGGATGCAACTCTCAATTACAACTAGAAATCCTCGAGAGTATTTTTGTACAGTTGTACAAACCAGTCTAGAATATATGCCAGCCTGGTATTCGGTTGCATAATATAGCAGGTCATGCATATATACACACAGGTCTGTACACCTAATTTGTGTTTATTACAAAATGAGTTAATATAATCAGGAGTGATCAATAATCTATTATTATTCACTCCTGATATAATGATTTCAGAAGTTTACATTATTAGACTTAACCCCGTTTCTAATCAAATACCAATTTATGGTATAAGAATTCCTTTTAAAAATTCACATTAAAAAGCAAGCAGCAGCACTGTCAAGACTAACGCACATATATATACAATTGAGCACACATAAATGCACAATTGAGCACACATAAATGCAATTCTAAACATTTTATCTGTGAAGGTCTGGATTATTTAGCTTATCTTGGTCTCATAGACAGTTACATGCAACTAAAAAGATTTGTACCTATTCCAAGGCCCAGATCGTTTTAACACACAGTGTGGAGAGGTCAGGCACATAATATTAATTAAAAAAAATATGAACCACTCCTATTGCCAAGGTAACAAATTAAAGCTATCAGTATAACCGAAATCACTACAAGCAGAAACAAGATTTAACAATGAGATAACTATATATATACCCCACCCCCCCAGCTGCAAAGTGATTAGTTCTAGTAATATAGCCTTCGTTAGCTCTGCCCTAACTCTGGTAATAACTTTACTTTATATGCATGCAGTCTAGTGGGACTACTACAAATCAGAGTGTCAGTTAACCAGGAAAGAAAATCAGGGAGTCTCACCATCTGAGCAAAGCGAGGATATGCTGCAGGCATGAAGCATCTAAGGGGGAGGGGAGGACCTTACCTTAAAATGGAGAAAATATCTGAAATGCCAAAAAGACAAGAATCTGATATGATTTTATATTCTTATAAGCACTGTTGTCAGTTATACAATTAAGGTGTATAATATATAAAAATGGGCCGCCCTCATGCCGTCTCTAACAAATTTCATCCATCTCATCCAAGAATAGGCCGTCCAAAAGACAGGTAGATGGGTTTCTGGTTAACATACTGCTGCAAATGCACTCTAGCTACAGACACAATATTATACACAAAGAGCCTATCATTTATTAATTATAGCTAAACAATTATCATTATTTATTTATTATAGACTTTTTAATATAGATCACAGCACCACGGAAACATTATTGTTAATTAGTAACACGTATATAATGACTGCACACACAGCACACTTTCAGCCGAAGCATATGTGGTAAATACAAAACCTACCATTTCTCGGGTATTACGCATGTATACAAGCTATCAGGAGTCTATCAATAGACTCCTGTATTGTCGATAGAGTCTGTTAATAGTATTGATAGACTCCTGAAGCTATGAATGCACTGTGTCTATTATTACACATCAACACATTTCCCGCATGCAGGTTTTAGTGTACCAACCAATGACCCCTTTACACAGCCATAATACCACAATGACTCTGTCCCTCAGCAATGGCTATAGCTCTCTAGATTAAAGGCACGGTCCTATGAAACAACTATGGTTACAACTTACAGGGTTGTTATCACATCAGTGTTAAATTGAGACCTGTGGAAGCTATAGAGTCTATAGACCATAATCACCATATGTTGAGGCACGTGCTGCTATTATTACTTTGTGAAGTAGTTACTACACAGGACTGGACATATGTTCCTATAATTACTTGTACAATACTTTTGTTTTGCTGCTGTGTATACACATGCTACAATACTATTAACACGTAATAATTAACGAATTAATTAATAGTTAACAATTAAGCTCAAATGTATAATATATATCAGGAGTAGATAATAGGGAACTATATTCCCTATTATCTACTCCTGATATATATATGTACGTGTGTGTGCCTGCATGTGTGTGTGCGTGCGTGCCTGAAAATACCCACTCTATCTCTCAGATAGGGATTTATATTACAATATCTCCACTATCTCCACCTCCTCATCTACTCTCCCCCCCCACACCATCTCCCCTGCTCTTCCTTGCTCATCTCCACTATCGATGTTTCCTCGATGTAATCATTTGGCATTAGTATGGCTCAACCTAGATAAAAATATTGTATACATGGGTTTACATGTACAGTTGATTTTTGGGTTATATATTTGTATATATATAGGCTCTACGATCTGCAGCTTCTCTCCCTTCTCTGCATTTTCTTCCTCTACTTCACATTCTCCCATCCCCTATTTTCTCGATCCCTCACGTGACCTACCTCCTCCGCCTGCATGCCTTTACCTTATGTCTACCTATATACCTTCTCCACTTTTCCCCCATATAGCTATTAGCTACCCCATCCACCTCTCATACTTCACCTCTTCCATACCTCTCTATACCTTCTCCCACCACCACTCTACCTTATCCCCTCCCCTACCTATCTATTATATCTCACCTCCCATACCTCTCTACCATCCCCCATACATCTCCACCTTCTCTTCTCCCCTACCTATCTTCTTCCCTCCCCTACAGCTCTGCCGTCTCCCCTTCCCTACACATCTATATCTTCTCCCCTCCACTATATTTATATCTTCTCTTCTACCCTGCCTCTCTACCTTTCCCCACCTCATTACATTCAAGTCGGTATATAAGCAGTTTTGCATACCTGTGCAAAAAAACTGGTATCAGATGCAAGTCATATTTGGCAACTCAAACTGTTTGGATTCCATATAATATCAAATACTGTCAGTGATTGTGGCATCATAGGGGGTACGTACATCTTGTAAGTTGAAAATAATATAAAAAACGGACTAAAATTAAAGAAAATGGAACAACAAGTGTAAGTGTAACCCAGTGATGTTAACACATGCTTGAATTTCTAATTCTTAACAATATTAAAATGCAAAATAGAAAAAAATGATCTTGTGGTGATTGAAAAAAATGATATATATATATATAGTTCTCTAGACTATATATAGTCAGTGACGACAACAACAGCAAGAACAGCACGAGTCCTGATACGGTCACTGTCAAATGTGCACAACATCAATGTCGTTTTCAAAAATCCCGTTACTTTAGTTGATTCCGCCAAAGAATTAACGATTCGATTCAACATGCAGCTCTGTAGGCCTACGATCTTTGCACGCGTCTGTTTTTTATTAGTTCTACCGTTAGCTACGGGGAGCGAAGGGGTATATAATTATAAGTATAAGAGCTATTTCCTAGGCTCATTATAATTTATAGTAATTTATTTAGAATTATTAATTTGCAGAATTACTTTATCGTAGCTAAAATGTCCTTTTATAAATTATACTTACCAACCAACTCAATGTGAGTCGGCGTCCACATCATGTCAAATTTCTTCCTTATCAGTTATCAGATGTAACGATCAAAATGACAACTCCTTCATTTTCCTGTGCACTACTACTACTAGCAGGACAGCTACTAGTACTAGTACTAGTCTGTCTAGGCCTACTTGTGCACTTCCTGTACACAACTTGTTCGCGAGGTATTCAGAATCATATGTTGTGCTGTGTAGCTCTTGAAACTTCGCTCACCGTTCACGAATTATTCTTCACAATTCTGTAATCAAACGCTTGCTGCTATAATCAATGAATCATGGGTTCGTTGACAAGTATTCAATTGACACTGTATACTATAGTCTGTAACTCTCGACTCGAGTCCTCTGTGTGCATTGCTCTCAGTCGCCGAACGTTGCAGGTGTTTACACGCGAATTTGTCAACAGGCGCACTGACTTCACACAACACAAAGATCGACAGCTCGTTACGCTCAATGATCTCTAGCGTACTACCACCGCACTATATAGTAGATGGGTTCCACGTCTCTGCTCTAATTATAGAGCTATTTACAAACAAGACATAGACACAGTAGAGTAGCACTCTAGCACAAGGAAACGGTAGCCGTCCGCCGCTCACCATGCATTCATCCATGTGCGTGCATGCCAGCCAATGCTAACTTGCACTATTTCGTCTCTGGAAAAGGCCGTTTCGGAAATTGTTGTAATTATATCTAGTACTAAAATGGACTAATTTCATAATATACGAAAGGTGGCCCATAGACGTCTAGAAAGCATGAAACATGTAATTGGTAATGTCGTATAATTGTGCCATTCTGCCAAGTGACGTAGCCAGAGTGACCGGTCCACCGTTATAGGTGTTTTCCAAACAGTTACTGTAGTGTATGTGAGTGTATAGGGCGGCAAGCCTTCAGGAATGACGCGGCTATCCGGTCACCATGGCTACGACACCCACGGATTTGCACAATTTTTCCACAAAACCGATTGATATTTCAATGCTTTTCAGACGACTATCGGGCCACTTGCTGAATGCTGTCTCTCTCTTTCGGAATTCTCGTAATTCGCAGGGCCTTCCGTAGGCCCGTAGGTATCGTACTGTATGAGTGTATGCAGCGTTGAACAGCTAAAAAGCGTCCATCAATGGATTCGCCTGTAGAGGTGTATCCATCGTATACTACGGTACGCGATGTAATAGAAGAGAAATTGAACGCGGAATTTCGCTTTCCTGTAGATTTCAGACGGCGAACAGCGAAGCAGACAGCGCAACAGCGTTCGTAATTGACTGGCAGCGCCATCTCGCGGTGGAAAAAGTCAAATAAATATGTTCATGCTGCATTTGCACGCGTAATATATATATATATATTATCAGGAGTGGATAATAGAGATTATATCTAGTGATTCTCTATGAATTCTCTATATTCTAATGGATTCTCTATTATCCACTCCTGATATTATATATATATATATATATATATGATGTGTTGTGTGGTGGTGTGTGTGTGTGTGTGTGTGTGTGTGTGTGTGTGTGTGTGTGTGTGCGTGTGTGTGTATGTGTGTGTTGTGCGTGGGTGCGTGGCGTGCGGGTGCGGCGAGCGCGCGCGCACGCGCGGCGTGTATGTGTTTATATGTATATATATATATATATATAATATATATATATATATATATATATATAATATATTATACCAGTATATATTATATATATATATGATTATTTAATTATGATTTATAAATTTCAACACTGCATGCTGGTATCACATATACGGGGAAGCAGCTTTACACAGTCTCACTTCGATTTAGATGCTATAAGCTATTCAGCCGAGTGGTAATTGAGAATTGAGTGGTAATTGAGAGATGGGTGGGTAATTGAGAATAGTGTACAAAATTGCATATGTTGTTCTTAGGTAACATCAATCTTTATTGTGCTACTATACCGCCATCGAAATTCATGTTCGATCCCAATCAAATAGCACATACTTATCACAGGCCGTTTTGAGCGCGTAAGTTTGGCCGAAAAAAAATATCTAAAATTAGCAGCCGATTCTCAGTTCGCGCAGTCACCGTTTCCCTGGTTCTACTAAAGGAGGCATACAACAGTATAAAGCCTCCGCAAATTGTTCTATTTCGTTTCTAGAAAAGGCATTTTTTGGCTTTTTTTCCCGCCGAAATTTGGCATTAGAGTGCAATAATTTGCATTATGCAGGCAAGTTAGATGCCTCGTGGACGTCTAGAAAGTAAAATTAGTTTTGTTGTGTATTCGTGACATTCCGTCAGCGACCGATTGGTCATTTTCGTGTTTGAAATGTGTTCAGATAGAGGGGGGGGGGTACTGTTCACAGTTCACAGTGAAAATAAACTGCTTTTCACATTTCACAGTGAAAATAATGCTCTTTTCACATTTCACAGTGAAAATAATGCTCTTTTCACAGATCACGGGGATAATCCAGTTTACAGCTAAAATTTCAGACTCGTAAGATAAGGTTATAGAAGTATACAAGTGTTCTAAATATCAACAACACTTCTAAATATCAAAAATATGCTTGCGCAGTAGTCATGCTTATACATGTGTGTGTGAGTGCGTGCGTGCGTGCGAGCGAGCGTGTGTGCGTGCGTGCGTATATATAGTTTACATATGTTCTTCTGCAGCTAGGGGGGTCCGGGGGCATGCCCCCCGGGAATTTTTTTAAAATTAGGCTATATTTGGTGCATTCTGGTGAATTTTGAGGCCTGTGACCGGTTTCTGGAAACCGGTGCAAACTGGCCTAAATCCGCGCCTGACATGCATAGATTCACGAGGAAAGAGACCTCTTATTCACAGTTCACAGACTAAATAAAAGCTAAATCACGCTTCACGCAAGGTGGTCCATTCACAGTTCACAGACAAAATAAATTGCAATTCACAGTTCACGAGGTATAAAAACAACCAACAATTTTAGAAATTTAATCATCTATAATTCACTTCCGCGCGCATATATTTGCTATATTGACTAATCGTGCGTCAATAAACTCAATATTCACAGAAAGTATATAAATTCAAGCCGGTACGGGAGATCATTTGCATAATATATTCTAGATACCTATAGACACATGTCTTAGCTATACTCTCTGTGAATATTGAGTTTATTGACGCGCGATTAGTCAATATATTAGCAAATATATGCGTACCGTAATCTCCCGTACCGGCCTGAATATAGACACTCCCGATCACGTTTCACGAAAATACCCTTACCCACCCTCCAGATAAATTCGCATCATAGAGCTGGCAAAAGTTTCGAGCGGAGCATAGTGCATGAATCTGTAGTTATTTAACATGAATAAAGTGTATGTTGTGTAAGAGAAGTATCAGTGTGAGTATTTTTAATTAATTTCTGTTCGATGCTTATTCAGGCCTGCTGCCTATGGACGCCCTCTACTGTTGCTCTAAAGTCGCTCCAGTGGTCTGAGCATCAGCGGCGCCAAGCAATCCCCCCGATCCCCCCCGATGGTATGAACCATACATGGCGCCCGTGACGTGTTAAATACCAAACCAATCAGCTTCCTCTCGTTATTATACTACGATACAACCTAAAGCGAAGCAAGTGCAATATTGTTTCCATTTTATTAGTTTATTTACAACAACTTGAACAAGTAGGCTAACTGTTTGTCTATTTAAAATTTGCTCAAAAGTGTCGCGATTGTTTGCTAGAGTGGAACATTTCAAGGCGAGTTGTAAGGTAGCGGAGATTAGTTACCAGGCAGTGGGACAAGATAGCGTAGCCGTAGGCTTATCTCAGTATCTGCACTGCAGTTAGCTCCAAGAAACGGTATTGCTAGGGTTAGAATACCCTAGTGTATAGACAATCCGTCGCACAGCCTGGTCGGGCTACACTGCAGTAGGCTAGGGCCTACTGCCAGTAGTAGTAGTACTACTATAAGTTATAACTTATAAGTATAACGTTAATGATTACCTCCCCTCGTCCTGCTCCTCCTCGGGTTAGTGTAGTGAAGCGGAACATACGCCTGTATCATACAGGTTAGTAGTACTACTAGTACTACTAGTAGTAGCGCTCATAGGGTAGTATATATCATATGTCCCCCAGGGTACTGCCGGAACTAAACCGACCAGGCTCTCCGACTGTTACACGTCGTAGGTTTGTACGTCGTTCCAACATAGTGTTAAGCGAGAAGGGAACTTGTGGCTATGCCGGAACGTACCCTGGGTACGGTCCGGTATACCGGAACATATACTCTAGGTACGGTTCGGTATACCGGAACGTACCCTAGTGATATGGTTAGGGTTAGGGTTAGGGAGTAGGTGTAGGCGACTCCCTATAGACTCGTTAGTGGAGTAGGCGAGGTACGTTCCGGCATATTAGATAGTACCAGGGTACCACGTTCCGGTATACCGGACCGTACCAAGGGTACGTTCTGACAGTACCCTGGGGGACATAGACCCTCTCAGCACTAGTAGCTCTAGTAACTATATAGTCCGCGTACAGTTGCCACTGGCAAACTGGTAAACTGTACGCGGGCTATAGTTACTAGAGCTATGGCAGTAGTATCCCTGGCCTTAGCTCTAGTAGTAGTACTGACTACTGTAGCCCGCGTACAGTTGCCGCAGGGCTATAGAACATTCTATTAGTATTACGAATGCTAGGGACCAACCCGCTGACTGGCGGGTACGCGTCACTTTCCTTCGGGCGTAGAGGGAGGGTGCCGCTACGTGGCAGCACTATAGTCACTTCGTACACTTCCGTCATTCCACAGTCATACTTCCATGCTAGACATGGCCTTATTTCCCTAACCTACAACAGAGCGGCACCCTCCCTCTACGCCCGGGGGAAAGTGACACCCGACTGGTGCTGCTGCAGCGCCACCAAAAATGGCCGTTTCAAGTTCGTAAATAATTTTTGTTCACAAGAAATATCGCAAGCAGACCATTTCAACGATAGTTAGAGGTTAAATTTTAGTAGCTGATATAACTCAAGACATATTTACTTTGGGCAAGAGGCATTAATTGCCTACCACAGACGTTTTATAGCCGCGAGTAACCATGAATAAGTTGGTCCCTAGCATTCGTAATAGAATGTTCTATAGCTCTGCGGCAACTGTAAGCAGGCTATAGTACTAGAGCTACCCAGGCCTTAGCTCTAGTATTATAGCCCACGTACAGTTGCCGCAGGGCTATAGAACATTCTATTACGAATGCTAGGGACCAGCTCGCTGATTGGCGCTGCTGCAGCGCCACCAAAAATGGCCGTAGAAGTTCGTAAATCGAATGTTCGTTCACAAGAAATACCGCAAGCAGACCATTTCAATAATAGTTAGAGGTTAAATTTTAGTTGGGGATATAACTTAAGACATAGTCACTTCGGATAAGAGGCATTAATTAGCTACCACAGACGTTTTATAGCCGCGAGTAACTGTGAATAAGTTGGTCCCTAGCATTCGAAATAGAGTGTCCTATAGCCCTGTGCCAACTGTATGCGGGCTATAGTACTAGAGCTACCCTGGTCTAGGCTTCAATCTAAGTAATATTATATTTCCTATTAATAACGTTTCGCATAGTAAGTATAACTAAGCTGTTGACAGTGTTGTAGAAACTAGAATAACTAGTATTTTGGACTAAGTTGTACCTATAGGTATAACATATGAAGGAAATATATCTAAGGCTATTCATACTAAACACTAAACAGGACTTACTACTAGAACTTTACTAATACTAGTACTAGTACTACTAGTAGTACTACTGGTGGGTCTAGTCTAGTTAACATGTGCCACAATACTTCATGTCTACAATACAATACACAATAGGTCATGTCTTCTAGACTAGCTCCCTAGTAGTAGTAGTAGTAGTATAGTACGCTGTAGGGCTGTCATTGGTATGAAATTATTTCGATTCGATTATTGATATTTTTGTTTTCGATATTTCGATCCGATTCGATCCGATTCGATTTAATAAAAATGTAATAAAACATGATGTAGCAAAAGAAACTTTGGCAAAATATTCCGACACATGACTTCTCTTGCCTTTCCTGGACCTGAATGAAAAAACGAATTTAATCTTTTATCAGGCAGGCATATGAAATCTCAAAAAGATTTCTAGTGTATGGAGTATGTATATATAATAAAAAAAATTGTATGTAGTGACGGAAATGATATTGTGCAGGGGTCGAAATTAGCGGTACCCCGATATCCGCGGGATAGTAGATTTTTGTGTTGGATGCCAGATTTCCAATGCTTGGTATCCCGCTTCGATAGTTATACAAAATCGTCAAAATCGGGATAGTGGTTGTTGAGTTATCAACTTTATACGGCAGCGCATCTGAGCGAGTGCGCACGATCTGAACGGGCTCAGGCACCCTGATTCTCATCGGTCTCGCTGCTAGCATGATGTATCCATTAGGAACCAAAGGCTGTTACTACGCCACACTATAGCATTATACAGCGGCAAGAGCTTGACAGCGGGCATAGTATAAGCGTATAAAGCGTGGCAGATGATAGTCAGGGTGGGCTCAGGTATTATTAGCTCTTGATTGTATCAAGCAAACCAGACTATGCGTCTAGACATGTACGTTTCAGCGTACTGTGCAGGCCTGGCCGTATGTAAAATGAACACGAGCTCGCTGGTGTAGGGATGTACCAACTCTTTATTTTTATATACTGTATCGGATTGCTATTTTTCGTTTTATTTCAATATCGGTATCGGACGCAAATCTATTGCGATTTATCGATGAGGTGGGTATCGATGACAGCCCTAGTACACTGTACACCATAGACAACTAGATTAGAAACCGAGTATCCGGATAGCCATTGGATATCTGGTGATTGTCTTCGATATAGTCCCTTGGACGAGTAATTGGAAGAGTAATATTTATGAGGTAATGAGGTTATTGTGATAAACTGTGTACTGGGCTTATACACCACAGTAAACCTAAGCTGAATGATCCTGTATTACATAAATTTGTATACTGTATAAAAAGATTTAATAATATTTAAACATTGTTGAGTAGAAGCCTGAGCGATTCACATGATGTGCCCTGAGCGATTTATGCTTCAATCTTGTAACCTCAACCTCATAAATATTAGTCTTTAAAGTCCAAGGGACTATATCAAAGATGCAGACAGACAAGGTTGATCAAATAGACAGATCAACACTGTGGATCGTAGTAGAAAAAGCCTGAAATTTACAATTAACTAAACAGGAAGTGGGGAGAATTCCAATACGGAATGACAGAAACAAAGAAGCTGTGAAGATGGATCCTTTGAAGATGACAATGAATGTGGAAAGCAGATGATCAAGTTCTACAGACAGACTTCATCGAGTGAGAAGGAATGCCAATCTGACCATGATAAATTTTATGAAAGGTTATAAGTTTAGCATGGAGAAAGCGGACACAAAGAGGAGGCCAATCAAGTAGAGCCAAAACAACATCAGAACTATCAGGATAGTTTTTGGAAACCCAGCTCACAGCTTTATGCTGAATGGAATCCAATTTAAAACAGTTCTGAAGTGTATAGAGGCACCAGCCTGGCGAATCATATTCTAATGTGGGGAGAACCATAGTTTTTTAAAAGCCAGGGACCGAGTTTTAGAATTGGGAAAGCTAAGGTTACGCCACAACATACCAAAGGAACGAGACGTTTTCTTACAAATATAATCAATGTGGACATTCCAGCGACGATTGCTACTAATAATATGAGACCCAAATATTTTTTAATAGGGGTAAGAGAGTACAGCGAGTACGTAAAAGTCAAGGGTTATTTAGAGCGGATAATGCGAAGAATTTTACATTTTTCAGTATTGAAACACATATCCCACGTTGTTGCCCACTTCTCAGTATGAGTAAGGACACTCAGACTCTGGAGGGCTAACTGGTCACCCTTATTGGAGATAGTGCGGTATAGAACTGTGTCGTAAGCAAAGAGGCGAATGGAAGTAGAACAGTCAGTTTCGTCCAAACAAATCATTTATAAAAGACAACAATGGACCAAGCACAGAACCTTGGGTTATACGAGATGTGACAGCAACCACATCTGACTTGCTGCCATTAACACAGACAATTTGTGAGCTATCCTTCAAAAAGTCTGAAATCCAGTTTAACGTAGTAATTTCCAAACCCAAGTGACCAAATTTGAAAATTACGAGATCACGAGGAACCCTATCAAAAGCCTTGCTGAAATCTGGAAATACTGCATCAGCCTCTGGAGACTTGTCAAGACTTCATGTCCAATCATGAAAAACATTGATTAACTGGGTAACAGTAGAAAACCCATGTAGAAAACCCAATGTTGATGATGGGACAGACCCTTTTTTTGTCTATCGAAATGGCTCATAACAGAGGAGTAGACTATATGCTCAAATGCCTTAGAGCAAAGAGAAGTCAAAGAGATTGGGTGATAATATGAAGCAAGGGAAGTTCCATCACCTTTATAAATTGGAGTAATGAGAGCTTTTTCCAATCGAAAGGAAGAGAACATAGGCTTGATAGAATAAATTGCGTAGTGAAGGCCCAAGCTCATGTGCAAAATGATGCAAAGTGAAACCAGGCACCTTATCAGGACCAGCAGCTTTATGTGGGGATATGTTCCTAAGCACTGAACACACACCACTTAGGGAGATAACAATTTTGCTCATTAGGGGGAACTTATAGTTTAAACATAGAATAGGGGTTGCACAAGAAGTAGAGATAAGCTTTCGATGCAAGAGACTCACAGGAAATACCATCACTTTGGAGAATGGATGGGATACCAGTTTCCAGTTTTTTTATTTATTTCACGAATCTTCTAAAGGGTTTAGCATCACCATCAGCAAGTTTATCACAAGCAATGCCATTTAGAAAATTTTAATGCCATGTTTACGATTCAATTGGGAGACAAAATTTCTTTGATGGCGATATCTAGACCAACTAACACTAACAGGTGTTTTAGAATGCTTGGCCCTTTGGAACAAGTGATTCCTCTTCCTCATAGACTCAAATTCTCTTGCATTTTGTAGATAAAACAGTGGTTAAACATACCACTGACCAGTCTCCACAATTTTAAGGATAACAATGGATCACAATAACTATCAGAAATATAATTATATATATAGCTGCTAAAGAAATTCCCTGAGAAAATTAGTGTTTTTTACTTGCTTTTTGTCTTAATTTTCAAACAGCCATTCAGTCTAAAAACTAATGTTGTTCGAAGCTGAGACATGACAGGAATTTGCATCTTAAGTCAACAGAATAATCCATATATAGCAGCTGTATATTGTTATAGATGCGACCAGAAATATTTTACCTTAAACGTAATATCAACGTAAATGTTTTTTGACCTTTCCTGTTTTTATTTTGGTGGAGTACTGTGCTTGAGGAAACATATTTGTTTCGTGAATTAAACACTGGAGGTATGTAACAATAAGATTAAAAGTAATTTTTACCTCAACCCATCAGCAAGGCAGTTGTTTATGAAGAAAATCTATCACAGTGTTGTAAAGTAGAACTCCGTTAATTGTATCTATCTGCATTGGAAGCACACTGAGGCTGAGAGGGTCTATGTCTCCCAGGGTACTATCGGAGGGTACCCTGGTACTATCTAATATGCCGGACCATACCTCGCCTACTCCACTAACGAGTCTAGTGAGTCGCCTACGCCTACTCCCTAACCCTAACCCTAACCCTAACCCAAACCCTAACCCTAACCCTAACCATATCAGATAGTTACCAGGGTACGTTCCGATATATCGAACCGTACCCAGGGTTTCCTCCGATAGTACCCTGGGTGACATAGACCCTATGAGCCACACTGAGCAGTAAAAGAAAACAAAAGTTTACAAGCAGTAGTAGAATTACATCAGAAGTAAGCTTCTGTTGTTTGTTGTTTATCCCGTGAGGATGTTAATAATAATTAATATTATTATAATATAATATGAATATAAACAGTCAATGAATAAAGAAAAGCAAGTTGATTATTTTATTTGCTTTCTCTGTACATGTTTATAGGTTTGTGTACCCTAGTCACCCTCAGGAAGAGAAAGAAGAAGAGTCATTGCTATGAGTGGATAGTAAGCAATTTCAATTGAGCCATTATTACAGATTTCATTTTCATGTGTTCCAGTTTGTATAGTGTGGATTAATTGTGATTTTCCTATTCTATATTTAGATCATTTTCTCAGTACGTCCTTGTACGTATAGCTATGTGTTCACTTACACTACACATGGGAAATTATACTTGTGTTGTTAGATTTTAAATAGACCTGAAAATAATTAAACTTTGTGGAAAGACATGCATACTTTTTATAATACATTTTTTACAAACGTCATGAATAACATAATCAATTACATTCCGTTGAACCAATTTACGTTGTTTATTATTAAGAATCTTTTTGTTTTAGCGGCTACTCTGGAAGAGGTTATGACCATGCAAGCTACGATCAGTATGGTAATGCAGTGGAGCCCTCTGCGATTGGAAAGCTGCAGCAGCAGTACTGGCTGACGAAACAGACAGTAATTAAGAAAATAGGCAAACAAGAAGACGAGTTTGTAGTCGCGGGAGATGCCGAATTGGATACGAAGCTTGAGGTAGGTACAGGGCCTACAGGCAACAAGTTCTCATAACGAGTCGATGGGTGTTTGCTGTGTGAGCATACACACATTGAGTGTGTCGCTCCATTTCACGTCTTGTGTTAGAATGGCTCCTGGAACACCTACAAAACCTAAAATAGTAATTTTAGTATATTTCTGTGTTTGGCAAATTGACCAGATGTGTATTTTGTCTCAGAGGCAATAAAATTTGGATTGTGTAATTTTGTTAGGTTAAATCCTGAGGTCGTAGAAAATTGTTTTTTTTTAATTGTTGGAGAATTTGTGAAAAAATATTTTGCCGTTGGTGTGCGTGGTGTCTGTTTTGCTTTTTAAACAGAGCTTTTTAAACCAGTTTTGTATTTTACAGCCTTAATAGAATATTTACCGCATATTGTTTTCAGTTGTTTGAGGCCATTCAGCAATCATGCGCAGAACTGCTCCGGGTGATTGAGAGATACCAAGATGGCATTTGTGGTTCGTAGATATAGGATAACAATTTACAATATCTATATCTATTATCATGAACATATGTATGCACGTACATATGTGTGTTGAGATGTGTATGTGTGTGTGTGTGTGTGTGCGTGCGTGCGTGCGTGCGTGCGTGCGTGCGTGCGTGCGAGCGTCTGTGGTATTATCTTAGATTGTTTTCTACCATCAACTAAATTTTTGCCTGGATGTCTATATATTGATATGTATGTTTACAAAGCTATAAGCTATGGATATCATTACAGGTATGTTTGATGTGCACTTTTATGTGTTTTGGGGAAAACACTCTATTTTATACTGGCATCAGGGTAAGCTAATATCAACAGTTTGTTTCAATATTGTCTGAAGGTGTCATCAGAAAAATATTGGTTTTCTTCTAGCTTTGTCTCAAGAGGAGAACTGTATGGGAAGGTTTCTCAAGGAACAAGGCAAAATTGACAAAACCAGAGCTGGTAAAATGCTGGTAGCTGTTGGCAAGACAGAAGGGTACTCAGCACAGCAAAGGTAGGACAAACTGAAACCATTGTCAGCTATTAAAAATAATTATATTTTTGAGGAAAAATTTAATTAATTTCCCCGTTATCAACCGTTCATACCACCGGTCTAGCAATCTAAACTCGTTAATAGATCAATATACTTGGATTTATCATAAAATAAAATTACACTTCATGTTATCGTGAAGTCCTATGAATTTATTTCAAGGTGGCTGTTGCTGCTTTGTAATTCAGACTGATCGGCATCCATGTTATTTCAGCTGGGATGTAGCCCAGCATTTGTATGTTATATAAAAAAAATAGGCACATAACATTTTTACTAAATTTCTTCTTATTTTTGTGGATGAATCTGAGTGAAATAGATTAATTGTACTATTATTTACTTGGGTAAGAAAATTCCGTGGCACAGCAGTAAAATCTATCAGTAAAAAGTATTTGTTTATTTATTTATTTAATAAACAGTTTTACATCCTTTCACCTTAGCTCCAAGAAGTATTTGCAATGTGTTGCTTCGATGATGGGTGTTACTAAATACGTGTATCACAACTTTTCAACACCATTAATTAGTACAGATTGTTTATTATATATATGTTGTTGTTCCATTATGTTGTTTGTTCTTTTACGACAGGCTTGCTATTCGAGTTCCATTAGTGAGACTGTACAATGAAGTGGAAACATTCCAGTATCGTGCAATCAGCGACACTTACATCACAATCAGACGCATGGAAAAGGCGAGAACAGAGTACCGTGCTGCCCTCTTGTGGATGAAAGATGTATCACAAGAACTTGACCCGGACACATTCAAACGGCTGGAAAAGTTTAGAAAGGTAAACCTTTGGTAGTCAAAAGTATGAAGAAGTATGTTTTTCTAGATGCAAACTGTGTCGTGTGTGATGCACGTTGTTGCGCGGCTCACTCTGCACAAGGTTCGTATGTAGAAAACCTGGAAAATCTCGGACTTTTAACGTGTAAATTTCCGTGACTGGAAAGTCCTGCAAAATAGCCATTGGTTCTGGGAAATTGGAGATTATTATTTTGGGGCCTAGAAAGTCCTTGACATTGAGTGCAAGTGAATTTTTGCTGATAGGCAATAAAATTGGATTGTTGCATGAGTTTGTTCAATGATTGTTCAATGATCGCTTGTTGGGCCATACAAAACACAAGGATTGTATTCGGCTCAAATCTTACAGTCGTAGAAAGTGAACCTTTCAAGTCCTAGAAATTTGTACAACTTCAGGAAAAAACTTCACCTTAGATATACACACCCCATCTGCACTCCTTAAAAAAACATTAAATAAACTAATTAATAAATAACTATTATTATTAACTTTACTATTAAACCTAAAATATAACTAACCATCGGCTGCAGGTGCAAGGTCAGGTGAGGAAAACCAAAGCCAAGTTTGACCGACTGAAGGTAGACTGCATACAGAAGATTGACCTGCTAGCGGCGAGTCGCTGCAACATGTTCTCACACGTGCTCGCCAACTATCAGTCGACGCTGCTGCACTTCTGGAAGAAGACATCGACGACGATGGGCACAGTACTGACCAGCTTCAAGGGCTACCAGCACTACGAGTTCAACATGCTGAAGGTACTGCTGCTGCTGCTTCTACTCCTACTCATACCATTTTTTTTCTGTTATGTTGAGAGAGAGCTATCCATCAGTTAGTTATATAACCACACCTCCCTTGGATATTGTTGCTAGGCTGGTCAAGCTAGACTACTTGCATTTTACGCATGCGCATTGAATTTTCTGACTTTCAGCAGCGTGTTAGTAAGCAGTTTTTAGAATGCCTCTAATGCAATGATTGACTGAATTGTCAATTAGCTGATTCGTCAGCTCTCTCTGCATTCCTACAGACAAATGAACAATAAGAGATATTTTCTACTCGTCTGACATAGTCTGATAGAGCTTGCAGAAAAACACTGGCATTTGTTTGTGCATCCATGTCTCTGTCCAGGCACACGTCCCTCAGAAATATTGCGCCAATTCCGTCTGTTTTTACTAACAGCATTTCATTTAACGTGTGTCGGTGGGAAGAAATCTCGAAAGACTAAGAACAAGTCGCGAAACTGGTGGTCAATAGGTAAAAGATGAATTTTTTCGATATAAGGTAACACCGTGAACATATCTATATGATCGTATATTGTGTGTATGATATCGTACGCATAGCATAGATATGTCAGTGGTAACAGAAGTCACTAATGTTCGATCTCTAATCGCAGGAATTAGCAGAGCCATGTAAGAAACTCGTGGAGCAGACTTCGACCGTCCGACAGCAAGCAGAGAAGGAGGGTGATTCTGCCAAGGGAGAGGATGTGGTCGCGAATAAGACTGAGGAGGAGGAGGAGGAGGAGGGGAGGGCCGACAAAGAGACGGCGAGTCTAATTAACATCGAGGAGGAGGAGAGCAACAAGGCGCTGATGCAGCTCGATCGACTGCTGCAGGACTCGAGTCCTATCGAAGAGTGTCCCCCTAGTCAGGTACTGCTCACATCTAAACCACGCCACTCACATCTACCTCGTTCTACTCACAGCTAAATCGTGCCACTCGCATCCGTGCTAGTTGCTTCTAAATTACACCACTCGGATCTAAATTACACCACTCGGATCTAAATTGCACCACTCGCATCTAAATTGTGCTACTTGCTTTTAAATATCACCACTCGCATCTCAGTCGCGCTATACCTGCACCGAAATTTGACCTATATCCGTCTGTGAGAAATAAGCCCAGTTTTTGTCGATGGCTGGCCATCTTCGACCAGTGTACGCATGCTTTCAACATGTGCTTGTCAAATAGTTGACTTTGCGGCACTTACGTGCATGTTACCTACCATCCATTGTTTTTATATGGTGCATATCGCAATGCGCAATGAGCTACTTGTCCATTCACGGGAGGGGGACTAGGTCAAGTGTTATGATATTGTAAGAGTTCTAATGTAATAGTCAATAGTAATGCGTTTTATGGCCATCATGTATAAGTGGTAAAACCGTGTGTATTCTCTGTTAGTATTGAGTGGAATCTGTGATTATTTCACATTTTTAATGGTGTTCTGTTATTGCACAGCTTCTTGCTATGTCTAGCGCCCGAGCGGGAAGGACCCTAGAATCACCAAGAGCAGCACAAAATGGTGAGTATGTTGCCATGCAGAGTTAGGTAGCAATAAGGAAATAGAAAATGAAATTAAAAAATAATTTTAAAATTTTAAAAAAGAAGGCAGAAAATTCACTATAGTCTATGCATCGTTGGATGAACGTTTTCTTGTCTTTTCCTTTCTTTATTTGCCGTCTGCCACTTCATAAAATACGTTTTTTGATGCCCCCAGGACATGTTTTGTAGCGCAAAGCGCAGCTTCCTGCGATGTTTCGAAACAGGTTAATTTCTTCTCTTGCGCTGGCATAGGGCTAGCAACCTCACTCACATTAGAGCGAGCAGGTCTGCTGGAGAAAGCGTGCTATGGAAACCAAAGCAACACAGTTGCCGAGTCCACATGCAATGGCAACGACAGATAAAACACTTTCTAAACTATGCGTTTGTTGATGTGCTCGGTAAACGTGTAGTCCAGTATGTGCCTGTGGATATGGTTGTTTGCTTGAAGCGTGAGTACCTGTCATGCTCGAAGCAGGTACGTCTCTTTAGGCATGAGAATTGTTTAAAATCCTATAGCCTCAGGGGACAAAGCCTCCTGAAACTGTAGAATTACGTTGACCAGACCAGTGGCAGACCAGACACACCACTTACCAGGACCCGCACAACCTGCAACACCTCAGTCCCATTACCATGACCAGAGCTTTGATCAGGTCTTGACTAGGGGCTGTGATGGGGTGTGGTGCAGGAAGAAATCACAATGTCAGAATATACAGAATTTATCATTGTGCCAGTCCTGCATGTGATCAATGCTGTCGTTATGAAAACCAAAGCAATACAAGGCCCTGTGCTCCATAAATAGAGCCAAAAGAACTAAATGTTTTTTTCTAAACTACACGTTTTGCTCGATGCGCTCTGTAAGCGTTTGCTCACGCGATTCTTCTGAGTCACCGCAGTGTTTGACGCCCCGTGCCTGCTCTCCTGCAGACCCGCAGGACCTTCTCTCGGACGACTACGCTCCCGACGACAGCCAGAAGGACGACATGGTGCTACTGAACGAGATCCTCAACGTACAGAGTTCGGCCGTCAGCGCCGACGACTTCAGCAAGGAGTGGCAGGCTGTGTTCGGCTCCCAGTCCCTCGCCGGTAAACGCACGCGCGCCGCAGCGGCTTAGCATACCTGTAACCTGCATCGCATATGAAACCCTGTAACCTGCATCGCATATGAAACCCTGTAACTGTCATCCAAAGTTTTTCAGTCGAGATTTTACGTGTAATCTGCTTCACAATTAATTCCTATTGTAAAAGCTTCTCGCGTGAAACGAATCGAATAGCGTCCAATATTCGCTAGTAGCGTGCGAGGCATACAGAGGATTCGAGTTATTGAATCCATTCTAACACTGAGTAACCGCCATCACATTTGTTAGCTGTTTGCAGGCGTAGAATTTGAGATATTGAATCGATCCTAACGGTGAATCACGGTCAACATGGGCTAGCGGTGTGCAAGGCGTAGGACTCAAGATATAAAATCGATGTTAATGTCGTTCTACGTGAAACAAGTTCATTAAGATTTTATTTTTAGGATTTCACGATAGTATCAAGAGTAATTCTCTCTCGTGACCGGATGTAAGCAATCTATTAGTAGCGATGACTGCTTGAAACGTCTTTGCCGAGTCGACTGAAGTTATCTAAGCTTGTCAGCAGATGGCAGCACACGATCAAATCCTGAACTGGCATTTGCTTCTCTCGCGACGAGTGCCTAACATCGTTCGTCTGCGACGTTTTCAGGCCAAACCAACTACACGCCAGTGGAGTCGGACGCCGCACACGACAACCGCAAGCAGTTCATGCCGTCGCAGATGCTGGACATGCGACTCGACTCGCACGCCGGAGCGACGATGCAGGCTGACCAGCGACAGACACAGACAGGTAACCAATGCTGCCCATAGCCTCGTCTCACGTACACCAAGCTGCTGTTTGCGTAGGAAGCATATTAAAAACTGAACAGTACAGGGTGTCTGGGTCATGGGTAGGCATTACGGGTTGTAGTTGCATTGTCTTATCTCTAGTAGCTAGTAGTTCGTGAGGATTAGAGGAGGCCTTGGCTAGCACTACGGGGGTGTGGTTCCACTGGGTTATTCTCTTTAAGAGCTTGGGTAAAAATATTCGAGGCCATCTTCACACTGTGTAGATTGCATTAACTTTTTGTTGTGTCTCAAAAGACAAAGTGTGCTTAAAAAATCTACAGCAGTTCCTAAGTAAGAACCTACCTTCACTCCTGTCCTGTTTTTATTCACTCCTGATTAATTATATACAATTATTTACAACAATGATGTTTCAACTTCTGTCTCCCTGTCTGTCAGTATATACTGGTTATTATCAAAAGTAAATAATCACAAATAATAAATAATTTGTGATCATTTGCTCCTGTTATTTTGTAGCGATGGAGACTGCTTACTGCCTCATCATTCATTGCTTGTTTTTCATATATATCTATCAGAAATCTTCTCTGGGTTCCATAGTAACCAAAACACGTATCCCTCCAACGAATAACCGTTGGGCAGCTCTAGCCAATAATACTTAATTAATATAGACTTAAGCCACTTCACACATATGCGCGGCATATTCCGTGCAGTCAGTGTGACATGGTGGTGGTGGTATGGGGGTGGGGGGAGGGGAATCTAGACCTGTTACCTGACTTGTCTACTGTTTACTGTATACTGTTTAATGCTGCCTACGCGTAACTACATATGAACTATCACGTTTTCTCTATGGAAAACACCTGGGTTTCATTCAAAAGTGACATCATACGAATTATAACTGGCTGTTTATTGACTGTGATGTTTTATTTTCATGTCTATTCTGTACTGTGTGCTCGGTAGTAAATCTATTTCAAGTCGTGCAGTTTATTTTCCTGGTGCATGAACGTGCTCATAGACATAATTTATTCTTATTCGTTTCTTGTAATGATCTGTGTTGCCGCTGCGCATGACAGCACACCCATATTCAGCGTGGGCACCGGCCGCAGCAGCACTGCAGTGCAGCGGCGTGGGCTTGCTTGCTAACTATCCCAGCACCATGATGCCATACAACGGTCACACGCTCGCTGGCCCGATGTTGCCTAGACCATCAGCTAGTGTGGGCCAGTCTCCACGTGCTGTGCTGGGAGAGAGTAGCGTGCAGGCGGTGGCCTGGCGTGGTCCGGCAGAAAATCCCAGTCCAGCGGAGATGTGCAAAAATCCACGAGATTCCGCCAATTGTGATGATGTGTTGGAGGGTGAGAGTGTGTTAGGGTTTTTGTGTGAGGTTGATGGTCCAATTGGTGTGCATGTCTAACAACGTGTGCAAGGCTATAGTCTCTCTCTCTCACTATCTCTCGCTAACTCGGTACCTTTCCTACTCGTGGTCACCGTTTACGTGTGTTTGGTGGTTGAATCACTGATTCTTTGTGTAAATTCTCGATCCTGCTCTTGAGGCGGATTCAAGTGGATACAATGTGGCGCCACCATGAATCGGCTAATCGGCATTTGTCGTTAGGCGTCAAACGACCAAATATGATAGGTTGCTTTGCACAAAGGTCAACATGCAGTTTGAGGAGGATTGGGATGGATGTTTTGATTGGAGTGATTGTTTGCGATTCTTTGGACAGATCAAGATGAAGCTGTCATGATCACACGGATCCGTTCCGATCAAACATACCTCACGTCCGCGTCTACGTATTCCTGTTACATTGATTGAACCAAGATTAACTTTTGGGACCATGTTGAGTGTCTGGATCTATAACATCTGTGTTGTACTAGCGCAGCTATATATCTTAGTTTATCAAAATAAGCAAGATAGATAGGTGCCTGATACTGATGGTCAATTTGCACAAATTTACGTTAATCCAGCTGTCGCGGGCCAGTACTAGTGTTATCACCGACTGAATGTTTATTCCATGTGTTTACTTTCTTGGCTTAATGGCTTTTTGACTTCTGCTATTTTCAAGCGTTTCGTGTTCTATCGTATGTGCATTAATTGGTGTCCAGGTTTACGGGCAAAGGCAATACATATTTAGGTTTGGTTTTATATTTTAATATTGTTGTGGTTATGGTTTATGTACATAAATTTATAGCACATACATATAATATAACATACACAATGTATAATTTAACATAATGTATTATAATGCATTAGAATTACTTAATATATATTTATGTACATAAATAAATGCTAATCGGCTTGTGAATTTAGTCTGTATATAGTTTACGAGTGATTGAACCCATGTTTCTCTGAACTGTAGGAGCTGGTGCGAAACCCATGATGCAACAGCAGCAGCAACAACAAAAGCAGACGATAGACCGGCCAGCTGGAAAGAAGGTAGCAGACTAGCAGTAGTTACAAATCTGTTGCGTTACATGCCTATTGTGAATAAATGCAGTCAAACCTGTGTTAGTGACCACCTCTTTCTGTCTATAGAACTGCACCCTGTCCGTTGAGGCCACTGTTGCCATTTTCCTTGCATGGCAATTGTACAGTGAAACCACTTCTATAGAATAGCTACCTAGCTGCAATGGTCGTGTTTGCAGTGGCCGTTATATACAGGTATTACTTTATACTTGTTATAATTTGCCCCCCCCCCCATAGCTAGTGTAGGGTGGGGCAAGTGATGCACAGCCAATGACAAACTGCCCACGATCAACTGCCCAGAACAGAAGCTATGCGTGGTTTTGCCCTCCCCCCCTTCCCTCCCAGGCAAAATGAGTTAGTTATGGTGCTGTTAACTGCTTCCTGACCAAAGTATTATAATGAGTGTTATGATAAGTCATAGTAGATACAGATGGTCAATTAGTAGGACCTTTGAATGGCAACATGACTACTCCACTATCCATGTTTTATGACCATACAGGCTTTGCACCGTAATGGCATAGACATACCTATTACTTCCACCTACATTGTATGTAGCTGTCCATTTTTAGCTCACATTGACATCGTCAAGATGAGCTATTGCCATGGGGTGTCGTCCGTCGTCCGCCCGTCCGTCCGTCCGTCCGTCAATTTGGCTACGGTCAACGATAACTTGAGAAGCATTTGACCCACATGTTTCAAATTGCATACAGTTGTTACTATGGGAGAGATGTGAACGTCCTATTTTGGAGCACGCCAGTTGACCTACTTTCGAGCCACGCCCACTTTTTGGCAAAAATGGGAATGACCATAAGTCAGTTTATGTTCAACGGATTTTGCTTATTTTTGGTATGTGTATGAATAAGGATTGGCCCCAAAACATATCACGGGGTTTTGATATTTTTTTTTAATTATGCAAATTAGGTAGATTTTGCCAATTTCACTATGCATTTCAGTGTCTGCCTACGGTCAATGATAACTCAAGAACCGTTTGACCCACATGTTTAAAATTGCATATAGTTGTTACTCCAATGGGAGGGATTTGAACGTCCTATTTTGGAGCATGCCAGTCTACCTACTTTCGAGCCACGCTCACTTTTTGGCAAAAATGAAAATGGCCATCTAGATTCATTCGATTTTGTTAAATTTACCTACCTACCTACCTAATCATACCTACGTGGTGTAATATTGTGTTTTAGATTCTTTGTTACAGTAATTTGACTGGAATATTTTATTGCTTTTATTTGCGCGATAATCGAAAACCAAAATGGCGATCATTTAGGCGTAGCGCCATCTCTCGCCCATATTTCAGGCCTGAAACATTTATTTTCGCATCAAAACTAACCCTGAAACAAAACAGTGAAATTTCTATTAGTATAAAACAGGGAATAAGGACATTTGATAACATTTTGGTCCATCATAAATGAAACACTTACCAAATTTTAAATATCATCTCCCTCTTCTATCACACCCAAGGTGAGCTATAGTGTCATTGACACTTTCTTTGAATTTGGTTTCATGGCTAATATTTTAATCCAGTATAATAATATATGCATTTTAATCCAATATTCTTTTTTAGTGTATTGCCATAATAATCTGCATATGTTCAGGAGCAAATCAATGGTTTTATATGTGTGTTTTTCATTCACTCCTAATAGTACGTTGTATAATATATCATCATGGTATTACTCAATGTAAACGTGACTTACTGCTCGTGTTGCCTGCCTTCCAGCCGGACCAGAAGGCGGACATGTCTGCTTGGTTCAACCTGTTTGCAGACCTGGATCCTCTCTCCAACCCAGATGCTGTCGGCCACCAGGAAGCTGCAGTCGACGATCGAAACTGCTAGGTGGCAGCAGCAGCAGTAGCATTAGTGCTGTGTGTTTATGGCAGCTGCCATGTTGGCGGCTTCGTTGAATGTGTTTGTTGTTTTCGGAGTCTAAAGGGACTGCGTAAAAGCAATGCTACGTATACCAGTCAGTAGTTCTGTCTGCGAGCAGCTTGTTTTTATAATGATAGCTGTTGTGATAATGTAGACACGTTGAAATGGTTTTTCGTGGACGTCATACGGTAATGGTATTAAGGAATATTCCGTCACTTGTACACCACATAAAATGCTCGGCACAAAATTGTCTGTTGAAAAGGCACGTGCAAGCTATATTTTCGTTATCACACACATGCGTGTACGTATCACTATTGCTCATTCTGTTCTGTTGTAGTAACAAGTATGCTAGCCCAGTTATAAATTACTCAAACCATATCTAATATAGCCATAGCAGCTGTTATATGGCTGATGGGTGAGAATTCCTATCTCTGTTCTTTACCATGTTCTTTAAAATTAATATTTTTGTCTGTGCCATACTCACACAGAGAACAATATAATATGTATCCTGGTTACTGTTATTTGCAGACAGTGTATTTATGTGAACCCTTTAAATACATTTGTCTTTACAAGAATGAATGGATACAAGTACAGATTTTGGTTCCAGGCCCTAATGTTGACTGTGAAGAATAAGGCATTGAAGTTGTATTTTTGTGAATAAAAAATATGAAACAAATGCCTCTTCCGACCGTGGAACTGCCAGCTTTCATTTACACGTCCGTCTTTTTAAGTCATGTTACAAGACAAGATATTGCGGAGGGATGTCGTATCCTGTCCAAGTTTTAAGTTACTTGTTAGTAGTACCTGTGTAGGTTTAGTTAGTTATATACTATTGTCTAGTGTTTGAAGTGCAAAAGAAAATTCCATAGTTCGTACATTCTTGTGCTCCAACGTTACACTCGTGTGCGCATTCGCATGTGTGGCAGAGTTCCTATTTGCATTCGTGTATTGCTATATCATTAGCTATCAATAGTGGTCATGGTGATAAAGTGATTTGGGTTTTAAGGCTGAATTTCAATGTATAAACCGAATTAAAGTGCCACTGTCAGAATGACCAAAACCGTCAGCCAGAGAAATTCATTTATTACAATATAGAACAATCTTTAATTGACCTATCCACCACGAGTGAATGACAAGTAGGTCTAGCCAATCAGTGTTGCAGTAAAAGCATTCTAAACATTGTGCTACTTAACAAAGGGTTGCAAAGACGACAATTTGGTGTGCACTCGTAAAAAATCTGATCTAGCTTGACCACAACGTCAACAATATCCAAGAAGGGAGGGGTGGTTATCATGTTCAGACGGATAGATCAGAGGAAGGGAAATTGTATTTATTTAACATTATTCATTATTTAAGGTGTCTGATGCATAGATTACTCCATGTGATAGCTCAAAGGTGTCACAAACCTGCACGTCAGAACAGAAATGTACTGAATGTAAAATATATCAAACTTCTTGGGTGTATTTACGATTAGTATTTATTGAATGGGTGTATGTAATTTCTAAAGGAACATTATTTAACTAGTATACCAAAGAGTGAAAATATGCTTTTAAGTTTATTTTTCCGTTTAATATATTTATTTCAGTTCACTATGGACCAAATCTAAGATACTTGTACCAAAGATGCTATTTACAATTTATATAATCTACAGCGCAGATATATCGTTGAAGCCTGTATCCATATTTCACATATATGATCAAGTAAATAAATATGTGGTGTCTAAATACCTATTAGTATGGTTAACTTTTTTGTGGAATAATGTTTTAGGTCACATTTAGGGTTAATTTCAGGTCATTTTTAATTATTGAAATATATTTACATTTGTGTGTCTATCTACATTACGTTTCTTTGCAAGTCTTGTCTCTTTTATCCCATCATACTTGTTATCCCATATAGCCCACCATCCCTCCCAGCCGGAGCCAACAAGGCATGGCCGACGTGGTTATGCCTAAATCGCATCAGGACAGGGTTTGGTCGATGCGGGGCACTCATACAGAAATGGGGATACACTGAAGATGGCCCAACCGAATGCGACTGCGGGGAGGACCAATCTCCTGAAATGCCCCCTATTACCAGAGCCCTGTAGCCCTGGAGACCTTGAGGCTCATGCCGTGCCTGGAGACCGTGCCTGGAGACCATGCCAGGTCATGTGTGCTGCAGTGGCTAGGCCGGGTGTAGTGTAGTGACCCGAGAAGAAGAAGAAGAAGAAGCCCACCAAAAACAACCTGAAACTACTAATGTAGTGTGCTGACCTTTTATTTGATTTAAGAATTTGAACTCAGTCATGTTTTTTGCACTAGGACACTTAGTAAATCAATTATGAACAAATTAATTTTTTTTTTTCACAGCTGTATTACTAGTATGTACTAATACATTCTAAAGATGGAACAGTTACATTACCACAATACTATCGATAGAGTATTTAGTACTACATTTGGATGTAAACAAATGCCGACTGCACGTGAATGTATCAAACGATCCTTTATCATGACAAAGACAACAGCAGGAATGTAAATACGTGATACTAATGATCTAATAATAGGAACAGATGCAACTTAGATAGCCACCTAACCCATTAACATTAGCAGTACGTAATAGTGGGACCCTCCCTCTATTATGTGCTCTTAATAATCTCCAAATTACACTAAACACAGAAAACTAGTGCATACCAAAAACCCGATCATGAGAGGCAGACGAAGAAACGTCGACACGAACAAAAACTTTCACGAAACGATCTATATAAAATAAACACGAAGTAATGAGAATTAGAAGCACATAGCAGCCGCACACGTGCCGTCCTCCCCGCATTTAACGACACCCCACGGTAAAAAACATGGCCGCAGCCCCGAGAGGCGGCCCGGCCCAATATCAGACACTGACTGCAGAGACATAGCTATTTACATCGTAGCGTGCAGAGCGACCGGTGGGTGATTCGCCAAGTAAAATCGTGCGACTAAGTGAGTACTGACCGAGCTGAAAAAACTTGTGTGAATAGCATTGCGTGCCGGCGTGCTGCATAAGTTGCTTGTTTGCAATTAAAAATCGGTTTAAGAACGTTGAACCGGCCAATGTATCACGCAGAAAACTACACAGGTGCCATCATGCACGCACGCACGCACGCACGCACGCATATACACATAAACACCTGCAACACACACGACTTACACTCGGGGCATCAATCCCTGAAGGTTGGAGACCGACGAGTAGTTAGTTATACGTACGTTGCTCAACAGTTACCACAACGTAGACGGTATGTACATTTAGCGAGTGCACAGACCGAGTATCCAGAGTACTGAGAACAGAGTACAGAGTATCCAACGAGTTTGTTCACATGCGAGTGTTAGCTCTTCCTGGCAGTGTAGTCCGCAAGTGAACTTTATGCATTGCTGCACAGGGAGCCTGGTGCCACACCGCCGACCCCGAACACAACACGAGTGGAGAGATGTCGGTACGACACCAGGCGTCCGCGCGGTCGGAAACATTACAAACGGTCACGCCGTCACAAACCTACGACGTCATCAACTCTTGGCAGGTGGAGCGCAAAATTTATGCCGTTCAAGGCTTGCGACGTTGAAACCAATTACAAATTTTCAAACAGCGAACACTGTATAATTAAACATTAACGAACCGAGACTCGCTCTATGAGTGAATCCGACTCGTGTACGTAAAAAACGTTTAACACGTCGGATCAAGAATTCACGCTTCTCCCAGTGTGTCATCCGACGTTCTCTAAGAACATCCAAACGAACGAGCAATGGCGTAACGAGCGAATTATACAACCCATCCAAACATCTACTGTTCAAAATTCAAAGATTGGTCTCAGAAAAACGCCGATTATCTATAGAAAATGACGGGGTAATCTGTAAAAACGAGCGTTTATCAGCAGAAAACGACCGATTATCAGTACACTGTTTAAGCTGTGTCGTGCCCGGACTGACAGCTGTTTACACGGCTGCCTGTATAAGCCCTTTTGCACACCGACCTCGCACTCACTCGACACAGGCAGGCGGAGTTGCCTAAAAGTCGCTGTCGCCATCATCGTCGTCGAACTTGTATTTCACAGGTTGCCGAGACCGACCCGGCCGTTCCTTCGCTGCCACGTTTTTCAGTATGTTGTCAAAGTCTTCGTCGTCGTCGTCGTCGTCCGATGTTGCCTTCTTCTTTGGCTTCTTCTGAAAGGTGAAACAACCGGATGTTTGGAGGCACAACAACAACTTGGAATAATAAGTTTACCAGATGTCATGGTAACAGTGGATGAATTCAAATCTTTTAGCCTGCTAACGACATTTATCTGCATAAATCAATCTATCACTCTAAGCGCACATCTAGCCTTGTCACTTTGCCAAAGGTGGCCCATAAAATTATAGGTGGACAAACAAAACTAACAACACAAGCAACGAGAGTGCTAGGAGAATAAACAAGTGCCGCAGTGCGACAGGGCTCATCTGGTGTCTGGTGTTCTGCTGATAAATTCATTTGTGCATAGCAAGACGTCTTATACATAAGACCTCAAATTTCGGCACAGTGATGGATTTTCCTACCATGATGCTATACACCGACTATCACGAGCCTAGGTCGAGCCGTTTAGATTTGTGCCGCAATTCTGCATTTCCTTCCTATACCTTAAGTTAAGGAGGGAATGTTCCCCCTTCTTTTACACCTCTTGACCTTTGACCCCCAGCCTCGACATCCCAACTCGTTTTCGGATTACCCCCCCACGTCCCGAATATCGTGACCGTACGCAGAGCGGCTAAGATTTGTGCCCAACTGTTGACGCACGGATGCACGCTCATGCGATTCTACAAGCTGCATCTGACTATGTCAGATGAGCTAAAAAGTATCTAGCTATCATTCTAAGCACACACCTAACCTCATCTCGTTTCAAAAAAGGTGCACATAAAATAATGTGCAAACAAACAAAAACAAGATGCTAGAAGAATATCAAAACCACGTATACATCTAACTAGTACTCTAAACAACACGCTACAGCTCCAGCGCCATGCTAGCTTTACCTCTTTTAATAAGTTGTGGCAAATATAACACCATGCAAGCAAAAAAACAAATACAAAAAGGCAATGCACAAATTACCGCACCTTTGGCGGTGCCTTTTTCTTCGGACTGAATGCGATGTCCGACGCGCTGTCGCTGTCCACGGCTGGCTTCTTGGTCGCCTTCTTACGCGGCGCCGCAACCTTCTTTGCCTTCGGTACGACCTCCTCCTCCTCCTCGCTGGAGTATAGGAACTTCTTTCCCGCCGGCTTCTTCTTGGCATGTACTTCTGAAAATACGTGAAACTCAATGATTATGCGTGCAGTTCATAGCCGTGTCACGCCTTTACACACTAACTATGCTGGTTTGCTAGTCAACAAACAGCTACAGAAGGGGAATACTACAAATAAATTAATATATATATCTATCTACATATATTGTATATATATATATATATATATAGGAAAAGAGAGAGGGGGGAGAGAGGGAGGGGAATGGGAGGGAGGGAAAAATAGAGAGAGAGAGAGAGAGATGACCTTTCTGGGTTTCCGTGCAACACAATAAACAGACAGCGCGCGACGCTCACCTTGGACCGAGTCATCGGAATCATCCGCCTTTCTCTTTTCACTCAACTTTCCCATTGACAGCAAGATGCTCGGTTGCTTGTCATCTGCATAGAGACAAGACCTTCTGAACACCCACCTCAACAATTGCTCAGCAGAATTTCACCGATCGCAATAATTAAGAATTTGAAAACAAAAATCCCAGAAATCTGCAGACGATTCCCATGCCTAAACTGAGGATGTTAATGTCACTTGTATGGAATTATCTCGGACCATGCTTTGAAGCTAGCGTACCTTTCTTGGCGGGTTTGGATTGACGATTCACCTTCTTCTTCTCATCTTTGTCAGCTTCAGTAAATCGTAAAAAAATCACGCAACTATATAACATTACAAAATGCCAAAACAAGGGAAACGATTGAAAATACATTTGATTATTACAATTGAGGACTAGTGAGTGAATTCATATACACCTATTATTATCTATAAACAATTGTTACACTCACCTGTAGCTAACAGCACTACATAAATGCAGTTATCTTACCTTGTGTATAATTCAAGCACAGCAACAGTAGGGACAGTGATTTTCCGCAATCACGGAAAAGGGACGAAAAACACGGAAACGGCCATTGGAAACGGAAAAACGTAATTTGAACATATTACATGGAAATTTCAATAAAATCACACAAAAACCGTCGACAATAGCATTGGTATGATATGGTTTACATTCAGACAAGTTTCAGAGCGAAATTACTTACAATTACGACTTTTAGTAGCCCTGTGTTCATAATTTTATTATGAACACATTACCCTACAGGTTCTTTCAAAGTAGCCCTGTGTTTCATAATTTTAGTAGCCCTTTGTTATTTTGTTAATTTTAGTAGACTTTTAGTAGCCCTGTGTTCATAATTTTATTATGAACACATTACCCTACAGGTTCTTTCAAATGTTGTACCAAATACCTTTTTTTTCATGCAAATATATGTAAACGGAATTTTGCATTTTTTGTGTGTACAATCTCTATGGCAAAACGGAATTTCCATTTTTTCTTTACTTTGAAACAGAATTCGCGATTTTTCCAAACGGAAAAGGGAATTTTTTTGAAACGGAAAATCACTGTCCCTACAACAGGCAACAGCAAGATCAGCAGTTGGCAATAAAGTGCCTCAATGGTGACAATGTGGCACGTGCGCGAGAAACAACTTAAACTGGCCTAGCTTGACCGACCACATTATGTGCACTGTCATTAGAACATATTTACTTTGTAAATATAACGAACTAACCACGACCACCAACATACCTGTCTTAGATTTCGGTCCCGCAGTTTTCTTTGCAGCACCTGGCAAATTAAGATGACAAAGGTAAAACATGTTTATTGCAGTAAGTTGCGACAGACTAAACACCCCTGGTCATTCACGCTCAAGTTTGCTTTAGTAATTAAAGTCTTCCCCTCTCTTCTGCACTGCCTTTCACCTAAAAAAGGTCCAAACCATAAATTTTTCTCGGGTTTAAGAAAGGAGAAGGGTAGTCATTGCAAAATCTTTGTTTGGTGCTCTCTGGTTGCATTCTCAGCCTTATATCGAGAGAAAATGTTTCAAATAAAATAAAATTTATCTAAATATAGAAAAAATACCTATTCATCGGAGAATTTTTGTTCTGGCGGGATATCTGAAAAGGAGAGCGTAATCTACCCGACCATCGCAATGCCCGACTGCGGTGCTGTACCTGTCGGCTTCGACGCCTGAGGAGAGACTCTGTCCATGAGCGAGGGGAAGTTTGCCTCCTCGTCACTGTCACTGGGGATGTTCTCGATGAGATTCGCCACTGAAACGCAAAACAACGCACGAATTCAGCACCTAGCGCATGAGAAACGTTATACACTCGAACCTCTCAATCTGGGTTCATTCAAAATAAACCCTAAGTGTATTTTCTACACAGCTGTTCATACTATAGAGGTGGTTGCACCGTATAACTGCCACTTATGGGAAATTACAAGCGTGTTACCATTAATATTACAGACTAGCTCTATGCAGAGCATGTTAATTAAAAATCACCTTTCTTCCGTGTTTCTTCTGCACTACTGGGAGCAGCAATACCACTTATGCTGTCATCATCGTCGTCATCAATCAGAATTGGAGCTGCTTTCTTCTGCGGAGCCTTCCTCGGCGACCTGATAGCAACCATCAACAACTAATGAAATCCTTATCAACAAATAATCAATCATTAACAATGTGCAGTTTCCATTTATTCACACACTTTATATGCAAGATGACGGTAAAAAATGCCAACAGCAATAATGCTAAATAAGCACCGACATACAGTTAAATACCATTTCACTAATGCAACGTGCAAGAGGGTTCACACACATGAAACATAACTATTTTCTAAGACCTCTTACAAATCTCTGCATTGGAGTTTGAGTAAACGTGTGCACAACCACGAGCGTAAGTCACCACCCTGTTTGTTCCCAATGAGGTTCACTAGCTCACATCTAGCAATGCTGCGAACAAGCCTTAAGGAAACACGTTTCTTTGCGGCACTGCTTAAACTGGGAGGTCGATAGCTCCGACCGTCAGTTCTGACGAGCGCCAAATACCAATGATTCCCTCGCCACATGTCCGCTGCGAAGTCACGCATGCCTACCCTCTATCCACGTGCATTTATTATTATTAATATTATTAGTTACCATTATATTTTCAGTATTATTAGTTTTAATTACTTATATTATTTTTATTACATTTATTGCAAACGAAATTCAACTAAAAATTAAGGGAAAATTGAACTGAAATTGAACATTTTTTTAGAAGATGGCCACTGATACAAACACGTTATTATTAATTCTTATAATTAACTACTATTACTAATTAACAATTAATATTATGTTTATTAAATATTAATGTTTACTAACATCAGGATTACGTACACGCCTAAAAGTAAGACATTAACATTAGTAAACATTAATAACGAACAATAAGACCCACAAACGTTTACTAATAAAATCACGACAGACGCACCTCGGCTTGGCGACCTTCCGTGGACTCTTGGCTTTCGTCGGCATGAAGTCGTCGTCGTCAGTACTGTTTGCGTCGTAATCGTCCTCGCTCGGCAGCGGAGACGTGATGTTGTCGCCGTCGTTGTCGTCGTTGTCGTCGCTGCCTCGCTCGTTGCCACCATCCTCGTCCTCGTTGTCACTGAACGTGTACTTGGCCTTGGCAACTGCGCGAAAAACCAGGCGAGTTATCAATATAATTAATATATAATAGCTTATTATAATATTGCTACGATGCACTGCAGCATTAATCCACTCATCTGTCCAACTGCCCAACTGTGATAATCATGCTCCACTCCTGGATATCGTTGCTAGTTGCATTTCGCAAGACGGGTTTTGGCGGATTTTTCGTCAGCGCACGCGAAATTGCCGATGTCGTTACTTGCAGACTGCCGGACTTCGTTACTAAGCAGTGTTTTTTAGAATGCTTCTAACGAAACAATGGCTGGTTAGAGCTACCGTCCATCACTTCAGGCAGAGAGTTCAACTACATTAGAGGAATGCATCGACGTGAGTTAAAGGTTAGAGAGAACAGACACACGATTCCAGTGAGAACCACGCGTAGGTAGGAGATGCCGCATGGTGCTGATAATTTCGGATAACACACAGCGACTCACCGGCCGCCCGCCGCTCGGTCTTTTCTCTCGGTATGATGATCTCCTCCTCTTCCACGATCGGAGGTTTCTTCAATGGCTTGAAGCTGATCTTCGGTTGTTTTGCGTCCTCTGCAAACACAGGACACAAACACATTAAACGTGTGTGCAATCAAAATGAACGAAAATATGATAAATACATTGATATGTAATAAAATAATGTAAATACATATTACACACATACACGCACACATATATATAATAAAAGGTCAACGTGAAGAGCGTCAGTAGTATTAGCACAGTAGTATTCAGTCATCAGCACGGTCTGTTCATTACCAAGGAAATGAGACATTTTGCATGGTTCAACACATATTATTATTATTGTTGCTGTTGTTGTTGTTGCTACAAAATAACTAATAAAATTAGTTTCACAGCAAACATTATTTTTATTATTTTTATTAAAGACATTATTCTACATGGCAAGACAACAGGCCATGTAACTACACGTGTACGTATAATGTTGGAATCCGACAAACAAAATCGAAATGACGATGAGATTATTTTACTTGCCTTTGGGTTTGCGTACTACTTTCTTCGTCTCTAGGCGCTCACTCAGTGGCTTCATCTCTCCATCGTCGCCGTTAGCAACCTTGGTGCTCTCCTCATCACTGCCTTCTCCGTCGAATTCCAGCTTCACCATTGTCTTCTTCGCCTGCGACATTCGTAATAAAACAAGCGTACATTACCGAAGCTTTGCTACCTGACTGACTGACAGGGTTACTTGAAGCATTGATAATTTTGTATTTATTCAGCACGCATCCCCTGCCAGGTGGATTCTGCTACGGAATGGCCTTTCTGAGAAGTCTGTTACGACGAACGAAAAGATGAAAGAAAGGTGGCAACATTGCTAGTTAAATTGACTACGTCACGAATTTTCCATGGTAAAATTTGTTGCCATTTTTGTTGCCATTTTTTTACATTAAAAGTAAGAACTAACGGGACTAAACGTATCGTCAAATTCTTACCTGATAAGATTGTTTCTCAACTAGTTAAAAATCCAAAAAACCTGGACGATTTGATATTGTGTTCCTGACATTAATTGCTTGCTATGGGCTATGTATGAGACACGAGTGTATGTTCACATCAAACAATATAGTAAAATAAGAAGTATAATGCAGCAATTATACCATAAAAGTGAACAGAATTACTTATATTTTGTGAACAATTGGAAATATTTTTTTAATTTTTTACTATTTACGGTGACGTAATCACTTTAATGGAACACAAGCAACGACGATACGTGAATTATATAATTCACTTGATGTTCTCTAGACTAAGAAATATATTAATAGTATATTATATTGTATAGGATTATATTACCTGTCTTTATTTATATAATGCTCATTTGATGCTCTCAAGAATAAGAAATATATTAACTAGTATATTGTATTGGATTATATAGCCTGTCTATCTTTGTACAATGCTTTTTTGACGTTCTCAAGAATAAAAAATATATTAAATAATATGATATATTGTATTGTATTATATTACATATTATGTCTATAATTGTATAATTAACTTCTGATGTTACCTTAGCTCTACCCTTCACTTCGTTGGCCATCGCTGCTTTCTTCCTTAGTTCAGCATCGATTACGGGAACCACTCTCCGACCCATTGGAGACGGCTTAGTCTCTTCTTTGTTACACTTCTTCACCTGGAGATTTTAGTGCCAATCGATATGTGAAATGTTATTAGGGATGTGAATAGGGATAATTTTTCTAATAAGACTATAGCATAAAGAACGACCAACTTTATTCTCTGTGTAATATATTCGTTCTAGTGCTTTTCTTGTTAATTCTTTAAAGGATCTCTCTGTAAAGGATCCTCCAGATTTCTTTGTAGACATATAGCATTAACTATATATTATACAATTAGGAATATCTTTATTACTTACTAACTTTATTTCTTATAATTTATGCTATTAAAATAACAAGAATGAAGCCATCAGCTACTTCTTAATGATTCATTTGGTGATTAAACCCCATGCATATCTGTGAAGTATAGGGTTTAACCGTTTATCAACACCTTCCATAGCCAGAGCATTGTTCAGCCACTACCTACTGACACTCACCTTTGCAACTCTCCCCTTGGCAGTCTTTTTCGTCTTTGTTATACCAGACTGTTCATCTTCCAGTTCCCTTGCTTCTTGTTTCTAGAATCAAGTAACGATTGTCATGAATTAACTCAAATGATACATGGCCAAATATGCAACCAAAGCAAACTTACCACAAAAGCCACCTCATAAGTACCTTTAATAATGATATTATATATATTATATGTATTTTTTTTAAATAATTTACATTATTTTTTAATTTAATCAATTTTTTAACAGAACATTTTCGTAAAATTATTTTGTTTTTTTCTAGTTCATACGAATGTTTGTAATTTTTTTATCTCATACTTACCTTTAATTTTTATCAAATTTATAATGTAAACAGCCATTTACACATCTCCCCGGAATTCGCTAACATGGCAACAAGCATGTGTACTATCTATCTCCCATCACCATGCTGCTCAATGCCAGTAGAGCGCAGTCCGCCTCAAGCACGTAATATTATAATTACGTAATATAACAATATTGTATATTAAACTAATATAACACTATGAATAATGAGTTGTGTGCTCGTGGCGTGTAAACCTGCACAATATATACTACGGCGCACTTACGTCTAGTTCCTCGAGGAAGGCATCCAAGTCCTCGACCCAGAGGTCGGCACCCGACTTCCCACGCAGCACCATGAGCTCAACCGCCTAAAACACACACAAACACAAGCACGTCGGTCACACAGTCAATCCTCGTTAACGCCACGTTAAAACGTTGTCACCATGAGACCGACCTGTCAGCCTATGCGCGATTCACAGGCAGCTCTAGCCAAGACGAGACGTTCGAAAATGCAGTGCTTACAGTTGAGATTTTGGTACGAATATGTAAAAACGCATATAAACTGGTTCAGCTTGACCAATCAAGTAATAATATATCAAAGAGATTAATAGGTTCTATCACAGTATGAGCTTGAGATGGGATATCTCACCCGAGTTATAGATATCCCATCTCATACGAGCGTAGCGAGTATGAGACGAGGTTATCTATAATGAGGGTGAGATATCCCATCTCAAGCTCATACTGTGATAGAACCTATTTCTCGCATACTTTTCTTCTTCTTTTTTATACAAAATTTCATTTCAGTTCAATAGTAATTCAATATTTTGCAAAATTTTCAATTTATTATTTTTATTTATATATATATATATATATTTTTATTTTTTTTATTAATTAATTTTATGAGTATTGATTGGTCAAAAACTGTAAAGGTGACCTTTGACCTTAAGGAAAATCATTGGATTAAAAAGTAGTGCGAGATAAACCCATCTCGGGGTCTGCAAGTTATCCCGAGGATTTATCTCGTTGGCTATCTCAGGGGATATCTCATACCTAGTATGCGAGAAGTGGTTATCTCACTCAGACAGATAGGGCAATTGAGTTACGAATGAGTGGAGCTACTCTGAAACACCCTCAAAAAGCATGTATCAGATTACATTAGACTTGGATTATTACGATATGATTAAATACGATGACAAGATTATTAATTTTCATAGTAAAATCGTCAAATACATCGATCCAAAACATCCTATAGGAAACACACATAGGAACGACGATTCTTTGTTGCTATTGCTTACGCTATAGCAATGGCTACGAGACTTTTTAATTTTACAATCACTCCATTTAATTTTAATCTGTTAGCAACAGTTCAGACAACTGTTCTAGCTGTCTTTGTCAAGCTGAACGACTTAATGGAATCGGCAGTAAAGAAATGACCGTCACCTTGTCATTCTTCTTCTTCAAGATTTCGTCTTTCCTCTCCTTGGTGAGATTCCACATTGACATGCCGACGAGGTAATCGTAGTCCGGACCGTCGCGAGGGCCAGCATCCTCATCCTCCGTGTCGCCGTCGCCAGCATCCGCAACCTGTCGCCATGACAACAGTTATAATTAAACGCGCGCGACGACAGAAGACACTCCACGTTGTTTCAACGGTGGCACAAAACACAACACGCGACACACATACAGAACATGTCACAAGTAATATGCAATACAACGCGGAAAAACTGAATCCCCCTGTTTGTATAGTTTTAGAATTTATGAATATATATATAGGAAGCCTCGATAGGAATCCTTGGTACAGAGTTATGAAACGTCGATGCACACAGTGGTTCTGACTCGAGGCCGGTCGCCCACTTACACGATTTATGCGATCACAGGTTGCGATTGTCAATGCTACATAATAAACGGCGAGATAAAGCTAGCGCACACACAAACCACACAAAAAACAGCACTACATGCTGAGCTCGGATGCCTTTTTTTCATGCATGAGAAATGAGTGTGAGTGTGAATTCTGAGAGGAAACATCCATACGTTGCCAGGACTTCACATAATGGGATATTCATGAAAGCTGAAATCTTATCTGAAGTTTTGATTTAACTCCACGTTAGAATATCAGGATATTATACTTATGGACTAAAACTCACGCCACAAAAAGCGACCACACCTTGGCATTACGATTTCATTATAGATCTGCGTGAAAATAACATGAGTAGCAAAATCTCGACAAAAAGCTCTGCAAATAAAACAAAATTTCACAGCTATGACAGAATTTGTATCGAATCTGTCAAGTTATTGGTACATGCAAAGCACATCGACTGGTAACCGAGCAACAAGGCATTGAGACTGAGGCTTCCCGTGCGCGTATTAATCCGCGCATGCATAGCATCGATTATTACACTGTGCACCATGCCATGTCGACAAGACAGTCCTACATACCTGCGCCTTTCTCTCTGTTTCCTACACAATAATACAACAATTTACTACAATAGGCAATTTAACTCAAATCGCATAAAGATATCAATAATATAAGAGTAATTTTTTAATGCTGTATCAAATGCCGGTGAGTGTAATGCAAAGTATTCCACATTCAAAAACATGTGAAATGATGGTGAACAGATGCTGGCATTGTTCTGTATTAATAACACCTTCATTAATCATAAACCAACCCACACTTAGTCATTTTTTCTAGTTTTCCAGGACTTCAATGGTCCATTTTCTATTACTGTAATATTTTAGTCGAAAGTCACTGTGTCCTGTATCGTCCAATCAGCACTTTTACATAAAGCAAATGGTATTCCCTTTCAGATAAGATTTTCCCAGACCACTGCCTATTTTCAAGGACTTTCCAGCCGTGCAAAAAGTGGCATTTCAAAACCCTGAGACTTTCCAGGATCACAACCTATTCACCAGGACCTTCCAGACCTGGAAAATGTCACATTAAAATCACAGGACAGTCCAGGTTTTCCATGAACCCGCCACGAGGTTGCCCCCCCCCCCCCGTAAACGAGAGTGCATCAGGCTTCCTACCTCTTTCTGCTGCTGCGACTGCTTCCAGAGTTTGACAGGGTCGGAGTCGTAGCCGCGATCCACCAGCATCTTGATGATGTCCACCTTCTTCTTGTTCTCTGCGGAGGAGAAAAGCGAAGACATGGCGTGGAACACTCACTTATGAAACACTCGAATATCATCACGCATCACTTAACATGTTTTGAAAGCTCATTAGCTCTCAACACCATTAATTAGAATGTATTGACTCGACCCGTAACGTCTTCCATTCGGTAATATTTACTTGACCTAATCAATAAATAACATGAGGTGTACTGAGCTATGCACAAAACAACACGCAATACTATATCGGAGCGAGATAACATACTAAGGCCTGGCGAGTTGGTCCAATTACCATGTGTTTTTCACGTGTTAATGCCAGATTAATAGACTTTGCTGCACTTTGTTGACAAGAATTGTGTTTTAGAAAGTCCTATCAGAACAATGATTGGCTAAAGATGTCTGTTATTTACGACAAATAAGTACAAGGGAAATATAACACCGAAAAAGTTAAATGACTTAACATTGACATTAGGACAAAAACATTTTCTGACAACGGGTATAAAGACGCCACCACTCGTATAACAACGCCTCCACTCGTGTAATGACGCCGCCACTCGTGTAACCACGCCGCCACTCGTGCAACGACGCCGTGACTCGTGTCACGATGCCACCACTCGTGTAACGTCGCCACCACTCGTGTAACGACGCCACCACTCGTGTAACGACGCCGCCACTCGTGTAACGACGCCGCCACTCGTGCAACGACGCCGCCACTCGTGTAACGATGCCGCCACTCGTGTAATGACGCCGCCACTCGTGTAACCACGCCGCCACTCGTGTAACGACGCCGCCACTCGTGTAACGACGCCGCCACTCGTGTAACCACGCCGCCACTCGTGTAACGACGCCGCCACTCGTGTAACGACGCCACCACTCGTGTAACGATGCCTCCACTCGTGTAACGACACCGCCACTCGTGTAACGACGCCGCCACTCGTGCAACGACGCCGCCACTCGTGCAACGACGCCGCCACTCGTGTAACGACGCCGCCACTCGTGTAACGACGCCGCCACA